AGATATGAAAGCAGAATTAATCTCTAATTATGGAAAGTCAAATTCTGTCTAACTCTCTAAATTAGAAAAAATTTGGGCAACACTCTATTTAGAAAGGGAGACTTCCCAGATTTATACTAAGTCAGATATGAAAGCAGAATTAATCTCTAATTTTGAAAAGACAAATTTTGTCTAACTCTATGAATTAGTAGAAATTTGGGCAGCACTCCCTTTAGAAAGGAAGAATTCCAAAATTTATACAAAGCGAGGTCCAGAATTTGAGAATAACTTAAGCTTCCCATAGTTCAATTTTGTCTAACTCCCTGAATGAGCAAAAATTTGGGCAGCACTCCCTTTAGAAAGGGAGACTTCCAAAATTTATACAAAGCGAGGTCCAGAATTTGAGAATAACTTCGGCTTCCCAAAGTTCAATTTTGTCTAACTCCCTGAATTATCAAAAATTTGGGCAGCAGTCCCTTTAGAAAAGGAGACTTCCCAGATTTTAACTAAGCCAGATATATGGAAAGGATAAGCTGAACTCTGATAAGTCAAAAGTTGACTAACCTCTTGGATTTGTAGAAATTTCGGCAGCGCTTCCCGTAGCAAAAGTGGCTCGCCAAGATTTATACAAAGCCAAGTATAAAAAAATATCTCAGAAAATGCAGGAATTCACCTAGGTAAAAAAAAACGTTATTACAAAAAATGCAGGAATCAACACTAACTGCTATAGCTGTAGCACGTGACGAGCAACTACAGCAACTACCTATAGTAATGATACCCAAACAAACTAGTCATCCCATCCAGTCACATGCAAACCAAACCACGAATGTTTGTACTCTCACCCTCCCAAGTTCATTCCATATAAATAGTTCGTGAATCTTCAAGTTCTTGAATTCTTATACCCATCTTACATAAGACATAGAGCTGGACCATTCGCCATGGAAACAATATCCAACTTGTCTTTATGATATACACGAACAGGTTGCACAACTACTTTTTTTCTTTTTTTGGGCAGATGACTAAGCCATTCGCCATGGAAATAATGCCTAGTCGCCTTGAGTTGTTTAATATCCAAAGATTTTAATATTTCTCTGATTTTGATAAAAAGAAAAGACAAATATGGGCAGGGGACTGAACCATTAACAGTATAAACGATGTTCAGCTTGCCCCAAACTATTTCCATTTATATTCTGCATTTTCCCTTCTCTCTTCTTAATGATATGGCTTAACGTTGGACCATTCACAGTAGAAACAATGCCCATCTGCCAGTTCACATGCAAATATACATAAAGTAGTTTCCTTTATACTTAGTTTAATTTATGTGCGTGGTTTTCAGGCTAAGCCATTCACCATGCTTAGTCTTAGACCAAAAATCCTCCCTCAGAATAAAACAAGAATTTAAACCCTTTCAATCAGGCAAAAACCTTCAGAATTAACTAGAGTAGCCAGACCATTCACAGTAGAAACAATGCCTGGTTCCCTAGAAAACAATAAAATAAACATAGCAACCAGACCATTCACAGTAGAAACAATGTCTGGTCCTTCAGAAAACAATCAAATAAACATAGCCCTGAGCCATTCACAGTAGAAACAATGCTCAGGCTTTGGTTGGCCCTGTCAAACGCATGCAAAACTGCCGTCCTCCCACCTTTCCCCCATTTCATACCTTAATCTGCTTTCAGTCAAAAGTAAACTGAAACTTATGCTTCACTCTCATACATTTTTTCCATTCAATCTGATTAGGTCCTGAAGAGAAAAACAAGAATCATAGGGACAATTCATGTATACATCAATCATACTACAGGGAGATAGGCAAACATGGGTAATAGTGGGTCATACAGATAAAGATGATTTACCTGAAGGTTCCCTGCCTCCAGAACCCCTCCTGAGTTCCGGCAGAGCTCCCGCAATCGGTGGGTGGACTCCCTACAGAGTCTTGACGCGGACTTACGGGTTGCAATTCCGCCTGCCGCCTTTCTCTCGTAACGAAGGACTAGACTGAGAGTAAGAAGGGCAGAATGAGGAAATTTATAGTCGCTCAGATCCAAGAATGGTGCTCCTTGTAATCTCGGATCGCCTAAGGGCCCCGCAATGGCGGCCAAAGTACCAGCTTGGTCAAAATTCTGGGTCAAACGGCCGAAAACCGCCTCCTTTGACAAACTCCCAAATCGCAGCAATGGCCCCCCCCCTCCTCCACAACCACTCTCCCAGGTTGCAGCAGCTACCTTTTCCCACAACCGAACCACTCTCCTTGCATTACCGCACCACCCTTCACTCTACATCGACTACCGCAACAAGAAGCCTGAGGATAGCCGACAATAGTCAATGGCAGCAGATAGTAGCTTTTGGCAACCGCAGATCAACGGTAACACGACAATTGTTGGAGGCAATTAGTAAACAAGACTAGCGCAGCCTGCAGTAATGGTAGTAACCAGTGACCAGCCACAACAACCACCAATGGTTAGGCAAAGAGCGCGGTGGGTTCGACCACGATACTACGATTCAAGCTTTGGCCGCGCCGTTACCTCAGAGGTGGACACTCCAATTTATACTTCGTGCAGGTAGGCCTCCTCTCCCTCACTCATACTTCCCTCACCCCCATCAGCGGCTGAACACAACCGGGTTACTCTCCATCCCAGCAGTTAGC